AAAACCTTGCAGTGTGTTTAGCTGCAGAGCTCTGGTGATTGTTTTCCTTGAGAATTCCTGACTTGGCTAAATCATTTATTAGTTCACATGACTCCAGTTGCTCTGGAGTTATAACAGATATCCACTGATGTCTTTTAAATCTTTCACTTCCTGCCTCTGCCAAGCTCTAAATTTTCATGATGGTGTTTCTCACTCCAATTCTTGACACTTTGAAACATTGTGACATTGGGATCAACAGCAGCGTTTCTTGTTCTCAAGTCTGATTTCAGTCATCACCTCAAACACTCAGACTGAAGTCGTTGTGTATAAATGGGAAGATTAGAAGGAAGAATCCTCATTTTGTCTTGAACTGTTGACATTATGATACTTTCATTGCGTTCTTGAGCAATCACACCTGTAACCTGTGAAGGCATCGTGAAAAAGCACTCTATATTATTTTTTAGTTGGAATGATTAGAGGTTTTATTAATGATGGTGTATAATTACATCTGAGTTTTTCCAATAGTAAGACCCTGATCCTTCTTACCCCTACATGATGTGCTGGAAAAACCTTTTTGTGAGTTAAGGTAAATGTAGTTCCCCTGCTGATCTCGCCATGATGTCTTTTGATTCCGATATGCTATTTCCCAGCAGCATCTCTTGGCTGTGCAATGATTAATTTTCCACCGACCATATTTAAGAGTTGACACTTTGTGGATCCTTCCATCTAAAGAGGTTTACCCTAGCAAGAGTGCATAGATCATGAGTACAGTTTGCCCCAATGGGAGCTAAAGCTTCATATCTCGACAGTGCCGCCGCTGATATATACTTTACCCACAGAGCTGTGCAGAAAATGAAATCCCTAACCTTGGCAGCTTTAGTGCTAGGCTCTACTCATTGAGCTCCATGGGAAATTGAGTTTGCAAACCCAACGGCAGCGCTTTCAGATCCACCCAAAAGCACTAAAAAGTGCAGAGTTTCAAAGAACAGATCATGTCGTTATTTCTTCTGGTTGTAGAGAAGCGGCTAAGGTCACAGAGGCTAAACATACAGCACCCACACAGTTGTGTTCACTAGAAGATGATGCAAGTCTTTACTCTGATACTCTTAAGTTACCAGTTGCTTCTAGAAGTCACCTTATTAGGAAAAATAGTTCACCTATGTGGAATTTGATGTATTAAAACCAGCTGTTCATTTTTAGGGAACATTTTTCAACAAACAGCATCATGAAGACCATGGAACACATCTGACAGGGTCGATGAAGTTCTGGAAGAAAACACACAAAGACTTGAGAAGCTAAACACTCATCTAGATCTACAACGGAATACTTTAGATCAGGGGTCACCAAAAGGTCATCCGTGGGCACCAGGGTGACCTCAAAGACCAGATGAGTAGCCTGCAGAGCTGCTCCTCTGCTGCAGTCCGTTGGTTTAGTATTCCTTCCCTCTTTTATTAACAGAGAGAAACTGCTGACGGTTTACTCATATTTTTCAGAGTGAAGATAATATCTGTCACGTTCAGTGGATCCTTTCAGGCATCGGAGGGCGCTTTCTGCGTCACTGGTGACATGAAAAATGATAGGCTAACATCGCCTGATAAGATTTAGGTCAGATTGAACTGAGCGTTAGAAAGACCAGCTCACCCACCACCATGTTACACAGGGCTACTCAGGAGATAAAGTCACTGCCTGTCAGTGTGGTTAAAGCCAAACATCTGTACTTCCCATAGATTATATCCTACCATGTCAGCAAGCGGGATATTTCCAGTGCAGCAAGTGCAAAACATGTCACAGCTGCTTACTGCAAACGTTTCCCTGCCTTTCCTTTTTAGAACTTCTTCAAGTGAAGCCAGGTACTTATATTTAGGGACGAACCAATGAGTTAGTGTGCAGAAGGAAATTCTGTACACTAACTGCACAAGGTCACAAATAGCTTCCAAGCATGAAAGCACAACCTGTAAGAGCAGTAAAGGGTTTTTTGCCTCTTCCTTTTCATCAGAGAAATTGCACTACACACAAGAGAGTAATCAGGTTCTCCATGTTTTAGGTGTTTCAATTAGCACTGGAAGCCTACAAGCTATTTTACTGTGCAAACAGAAATGCAATGAGGCATTTAATGTCAAATATGTGAGCAACTTTGGACATGATTACTAACAACCTCTGGTTTCTCTGAGATAATTTGAAACAATACAAGGTGATGTTTTATTTTCTCTGTTGTGGCTTTGAAAATGGAAGCTGTGTGCAATTCTTAAAATGTCAGCTACCAAAAGCAGGTGTTTACCACCCTAATATTTTAAGTGCTCTCCATTAGCGCTTGTGTGCTAGCTGATGGATTTAGCCTATGATTTTAACTCCACAAACATTACATTTAAAAATTAAAATGGAAGCAAAATTTCTACACGAGAGTATAAAAAAGGAAGAATAAATAACAAGGTTCAAACCGAGTCTCCAATTTTTGTCTATGTACAAGCTAGCATTAGTTAGCTGCTACAGCTAGTCACAAAACTGTCAGTTTATAACTCTCAATAAGTCACCAAACAGGTGTTTTTATGATCATTTGTATTTCTTTCTGTAACCTGTAAAAATACTCTTGGTGGTTGTTATATTATCAGCTAAAATCAACAATATAAGTCATTTTACCAACATGTTGCCAGTATGTTCATATATCTGAATGACTGAGCAACAAAACACATGAATGAAGAAATCAGAGAAATTAATGTAGTTAATCTTCTTTTAAGTTCTACAACTGAAATCAAACATTTTTAATTGTTTTACATTGTTGGATCAATGTAGAGTTTCAGAGAAAGTTCTGGCTTTAAAGATGTAGCATATCATTCACTCTAGCTTTATTTTCTGTTTGCACAATGGCACATTTTGTCAATGTGAGTTTTCCAAAGAAACATGTAGCTCAGCATGGTGGTGATATCATAATGCTGAGACTGCTTTACTTTTATTCGCATTAGTCTGTATGTTTTGTTTTGACCTTGCATGAGGTATGAAAAATCCTCCATGAATTCAAACTTGCTTCATACTTTTGATTTCAAATATCATTGAACTTCTATGTTAACTTTACCTTTAAATAAATGTTCCAAATAAATTATAAAAAGCATAAAAATTTATGACATTCATGCCAATGCTGAGTGGATTATGCCTCTGAACTGGAACTCATTTCTGTCAGACCAAGTTGTTTTTTCACAAACACATTTTCAGCATTGTTTATGCTCTATGCTTTTTTTATTATTTAAATAAAACATGTTTTCAGACCATGAAAAAAATACCTGCATTTTGACAAAAACACAAGCATAAAAACATTAATGTCTGATACAATCCATGAACACCCTACTGCTTCCACTACATGATATTTTTTTACATCAGAATTGTAGGAGACAGTACAAATGAATAAGTCTAGACATGCACTAAATTATTTCATTTTGAATGCACACCACTCTGAACACAAACACCGAGGTTACAGCTACAATTACACTGGGAGTGACTTGAGTTGAGATTACCATAAAAAAGTTCTTTTTACTTTAAGCTGAAAATGTTCAACAAGTTTTCATGGCCTGAAAAATACCCATTCTCCATACATTTAATACTTAGCAATGACCTTAGCTGTGACCATAGCCAGGGATATTCCAGCTAAAATGTCCTTTAAAATATATGCAATATGATTTGATCTGTTACCTTGGCTGTTCATGCTCATCTGACACTGTCCCTCTGTACACAAAGGAATTGTTTTTTTCCACTTTTCTCTATTATCTGTCTGCAGTAGCCTTAACTGTGTTATATTAACTCAAATATTAATAAATGTATAATTGCTGTTAAAATAAAATAATACATTGATCATTTTGGTTATACGTATTCTAAATAACATAGAATATATTATCTTTGAGACTAAAATTCTGCCTTAGTCACAAGAAGTAAGTGGGTAACTGTAAAAGTTTCTGTCATTTTAAGTATTTTGAACAAATACATGGTAGAACACAAAACAAAGTATTGAATAAATATCCTCAGGTGATTTTCAGTAAAAATGTTTATTGTAGACAATATTATCTCTGTTGATCCGCTCTTTGTAGACAGTCAGCAAAACGGACTGTCTAACAAGACGATATTAGCATGTACTTGGTTAGCTAGCGCACAGGCTGCTGCTAAACACACCTGCTACATTAGCCTCTTAGTTTACCAACTGTGCTTTCAAAAAAAGCTTAACCAATTCTAACTGTGGTGTACAATTTCAAGAAATTGAAATTACACTCATATATTTTCAGTAAAATATACGAGGTTGCGTTGCAGTGGCACAAACTGCCCCACAGATACAGCCTGGACAGCATAGCAACTAGCATAACTGATGGAAATCTTTGACTTTTTTTTATTCTAGTCCAATTGGTGCTGGTCATAAACTATCTCAGTTGGTCTACCAACCACCATAAAACTCAAGAAGAAATCTTTGATTTGTTGGGTAAAATGATAAAATAAATTCATCAATCGTAATCATTTAACTGAGATTAATTTATCCATCAATTTCAACAATGTACAAACAATATGAATAAACTATGCAAAAGCAACAGATAAAATATAAAAAACATAGTTCCCATAGATTATAGGAACTGTTTTTCTAGTTTTTCTGGTGTAAAAACAGAAATGTTAATATGAAGGTGAAGATGGGACAGAAAATAAAACCATTAGATTGCGTTCGCATGTGTCATTCCTGGTAACAATACTAACATCTAGTTTCTTCTTCTATGTGACTGTTGCAGAAGTTCGCACTGTGGCTAGCTCTGTATTTTGACACAATGGGTCTATCGTCAGTAACGTCTGTTTTTTTCTCTCTTTTTATCTCCTTCCTGCTGCCTGGAACATCAGACCACTTGGGCATTGAATTCATGGGTAAGAAAGCTTTTCTTGTCTTCACATGTGTATGACTCACGCCTGTAAACATCGTAGGGGTTTCATGTTGGATCAACATTACGCTGCGTGATTGCTTACACGCAGAACACGGATCGACGTCCAGCGAAAGGCCACACACACACACACACACACACGTCTAATCACATAGTGTTATTTGACTTGACATGGATGTGTTTTTCCACGTCTGCATGTTGCATCTTATCTCTTTCTGGAACTCTTCGTTGCTTAAACATGTCACTGTACTATTTACCCAAGCACATTTATGTATCTTTTACCATTTCTGTTCTCCATCTCTCGCCATCTCACTTTTCTTTCACTCGCAATTGCTTATGAAGTGTCCCCTCAGAATACCAATGTGCTGCAGTCTCCTTGGAAACGGGGAGAACAGAGAGGGCGCAGTGTGGCTGTTTTCTTTTTTTTCCTTTCTTTTTGTGACTCTGGCAGTGTTGGCAAATGAATTCCTCATTAGTACACGTGCACGTTGATGGCAGAAGTTCAAAAGCATGAATCTGAAAAAGCCGGAGTTTGGTACAAATGTTTGGTTGGGTGGAGGTTTTTTTCTTCCTTCAGTCTTTGTAGAGTGAATGTTTGATGCATCTCTCCCAGGCACATGCCCGTGGGTTGCGATGGGTGGAGGCCAGCGGATTCACAGTGCTGTTGCCAAGCTCCTCTCTCGTGTTCCTGACTCTGCTTTGCACGCTCCGTGCTGGTTATTGCAGCTGACGAGCTCTAGTTAACGGCCTGGAAGCTCGTCGTTAGCCGCGGCTCGCCCCACTCTCTCAGTCGGAATTGTTAGGACCATTTCCAGAAGCTTTGATCGAAAAAAAAAAAAACATAATTAAGTCCAAAAGAATGACCTTCCACTTTATGACTGTATTCAAAGAGCAAGAATAGCTGTTTTTTTCAATTTTTTTTTTTTAACCCTCCCATTTCCCGCCAGACATTTGCATTTGTGAAGCCTGCTGAGACTTTGCAAACTTGGCAGTGACAGATGATCTTTACCGTAGAGCTCTCTTCCTCCCATTTATATTCAGCTGTGAGGTTTCATGCCTTTTGCAACATTGTTCAGGCTGCCACATTCTCTTCACCTCGCTAGCGGCTCGCTAGCCCTGCCAGCATCCTCGCCAACATTGTGTTAAGCAGCACACGCGAAGACGAGCGTCTCCCACACTTGACGGTAACATCTCAATGTCTGTGGCTTGGCGAACTGTCTCTCCCAACAAAAAAGAGAAATATTTAAATCATCTGCAGTGGCTCTCCAGTAGACTTTTGTGAGTTACTTTCAAAAAGAAAAGGGAAAACATTCAACAGGAACATCTGAATACACATCTTACATTTTCTCTTCCAATCTTCAATAGAAATTGAGTTTTGAGATTTACATAACAATGTCTTCAATTTTAGCTTTACAACTTTGGATTTGATGGTAATTTCCTCTACTACACACAAGTTCATATTTTAACATACAAGCTCTAATACAAACATTAACCCACACTGATATTAGGATTATTTATCAAATCCAAATTGTAGAGAACTCATTCTTTTTTTCTCTTTGAGCATGCTTCTGGCTTGTTCTGGAAGGATATTTGACCCCAGAAAGTTGAAGCTCATTTGTTTGGTTTTCTCTCCTTTAACCTTATTTTAAAAGAAACTTAAAATTCTTTTTTTGAATGTATTTGTACTTCCATTCTAGAAATACTCCAAACCACACAGCCATTTTACTGACAATAATTCAATATGTTTTGGTGCTTGGAAAATGAACCATTTCAAAAACCTCCTGATTATGATGTCACAGTTGGTGGGCACCCCCCCCCCCCCCCCTTTGGAACCCCAGCCGAACCCAGCCCCGTAACCTAGTAACCCAAGCAGAGCTCCAGCATGTCTGGTCAGCTGGATGCGCTGCATGATGGGTACTGGAGAGGAAAAGTGTTTTGTTGTTGATGTACCATCCAGAAACCACTTGCTGCATTCTTGTTGGTTGTGCAGGAGGCTCTACTTTTGCTTTTCAAATATGCATGGTTGTAAAATTGTGAGTGTAAACTTTGAGTTGGGGGGTGTGGACAGCAGTGGCGTATTTGCTTAAAAGCAGCAGAGCCCTAAAACAGCCTGTTCTAAAAGGAGCTCAGGACAAACAGAACTGTGGAGGTGAAATGTCATTATCTAAAAATGATTTTGAGCAACAGATGTAATGAACATTCAGATGTGTGCTCATACACTTATTCCATCCTAACTTGTTCAAGAAAGCATAACAATTCTTAAGTTCTTCAGAGTATTTACCAAAACCAGCTTTTCCATTGACTTTTCTATATTTCTCTTGTAAATGTTTTGCATTGTACTTCATTTTAAACTCACAACCCGATATTTTGGGATTTTTATGAATGTAAACAAAACTCAAGTTTATATTTTTGGGGAATAACACAGAGCTACTGTTCAGGGCATGATTTAACCTACAATGCATTAATTCATGCTTATACTTATATATAGACTTACCATTTAAATGAGAAAAATAATCTTTCAGTGCTGGTTAGGGCACTAAAACTGGCTCTGGCCCAGGAGCCCACATCGTTGTAAATACGGCCCTGATGATGAGTCCATGTGAATCTTTAAAGGTTTTGCTCTCTTTTTCATGTCCTGGTTTACAATTCATTAGGCATTTGTGAATTGATCTGTTTTATGCAACATGACCATCATATTTTCCTTGTTTGTGGTTCATTTTTAACTTTCTGATGAAACAAAGATGGTTTAACTTCCATCCTGTTTGTTGTGGTAAGACTTTGATTAAAGCAAATCTACATTACTTGGAGATAGAGATGTGCCGATCAGGTTTTTTCCTGCCGATTCCGATTCCGATCACTCATGAGGGCCAATCACGGCCAATCACCGATACCGATCACATAATTATTATTTTTTTAGTCACAAGCACTACCGGTTACATTATGTCGAAAAACATAATGTAATTCACCTTAATTTAGACAAAAACTTGTTTTTAATAACTTTTTCCAAGAAAACAAAACAAAACAGGCATTG